CCGGACAGAAAAGCCGAACACTTATCGACTGTACTATTAATTATTGCTCCTTTGACTTCTTGTAAGTACAAATATAATGTACTATTGGAATTGGTTTTCTTTCATTTTTTAAGCCTTCAAGCCTCATGTCCAATCGTGTGGATCGCTGCCGCCTTCCATAAAGAAAACACTACGAAAGCTTTCCTGGAACAGAACGGACGAAGAAATCGAAGTAGTTCTGCAGGTTGTAAAGAAACTGAAATGTTTTGACCGATATCCCATGTACGTCAAACGAGAATTAGCCAGAGTATTGTACTACGACATGTTCGAAAAGGGAAGAGTTGTTATAAAGCAAGGTAAGAGGATTGACAATGTAGAGAAAGTATCAATTTGCCCCATGTTAGCGAAACCAAGACAGTCTTGGATTCTGGATTTCACACCATGGATGCCGGATTCCAGGTATATTGGATTTAGGATTTTTTGTCAGTGGAACTTGATTACAATCTTTAGCGGGATTCCGGATCGTTTGAACTGTATTAAGGATTCTAAACCCCAGGAAAAAATGTTCGGATTCCCTCACGTGGGGCGAGACAGTATTGCGTCTTCTAGACACAAAAATAAGACGACGTTTGCCATCCCTTTTTGGTCTTACTTTCAGGACATGCTGGTATATCATTCTACTTCATAGTCTCAGGTTCGGTGATGGTAGAGCGAATGGAAGAAGACAGACACACCGGCGAGCAACACAAACAGGTTATATAAATCAGTATAAGTAGAACTTCTGCTTGCTGCTGTACTGTGCTGTACTTAATTCTTTACCGTTTTCCTATTTCTCATGATAAGATTTGTTTGCGCCCCAAATTTTTGCCATCATAAGCACTGTTTTCGATTTTCTCTTAGGAGTTAACGAGCAAATTGAAAAAAAACATACTTTTTTTGGAGCAGAAAAATGCCAGAAAAAATGTGCTTTGGGCTCGGGTGGGCACTTTATTATTTATTGGGTGTGGATCTGCCGCTGAGACCGTGGAACCCTGGAAGCCTTAGCCCATATCAGGGTTAGTTCAAGTGAATTTTGCTAGCCTATACTAGACTAAACTCCCCAAATCCCGCCCCCCTATCCTAGAGTAGCTGTTTTCCAGAAACTACTGAGGTCACTAGGACAGTCCAGTCAAAACAAGAATTAAACCGATTTGACTTTTTCATATTTTTGAGTGGCAATTCCTGGTTTTCCTGGTCTAGACTTTCGTCTTCAACCAATTGATCAGTTTCCTGGAAAATGATACCCTATTCTAGACCCAAACTCTCTGATTTATATACCCGAACCCAGAGAAAACTGCTTGAACGCTATAACCTTCACAACGGCACATACCTATATAGCCCATATTGGGCAGTACCCTCCCGGCCGGCTTTGGGCACACCGTTATTCCAAAGACTTCCAGAGATTTCTAAAGATTATCTGAAAGCTTTTTCAGAAGGCTTTGGTTTATTTTTAAGTTTACACGAACTCTGGATAAGCAAAACCCTGATACAAAGACATGTGCTTTTAAGAAACACACAATTAAAATAGTGGACGACGTGACAGCAACGTTATCTACCACTGTATATTTTGGCCTTGTCTTCAACAACTAATGGATGTCAAATTCAACGAAAGGTAATTTCACTAGTTCACTAATTTCCGGGACACAGCATCTGAACGTTACAAATAGCCGTTTTTATGCTAGAGACGTTAAAGTTCGCGTAAAGATGCGTTTAACGTCTGAGACGTTTAAAAAGTCCACTTGTGTGAAAACAAGCTCTTAAAAGTAGACGACAACATTGAAAATAAAAATAAAAAAAAGCTTTTTTTTAAAAAAATAAAGACACTGACTCTTCTCAGTCATTTCTGGACGAGTTGGGCATAAATACGCATGCGTCCCAATTTACGGCGTCCAATTTTTCTACTAGAAAAACGCATTTAAAGTCTGAACGACGCGGGCGCTAAAGTCGTCAGACGTTACACGCGACTGTCTTATTGACTGATCCTTTTCATACTAGACGTTTAAGTCTTGCTAAGACGACTTTAATGTCTCAGTCGGCTCAAACGTCTCTAGAATAAAAACGGTGAATCGCAACTGAACCATTAACCCATCTACATCAGGTTGTTGGCGAGATGTCGGAAGGAGATGCTTTTGGTGAGCTGGCTTTACTTCACAATATCAGACGAACAGCGACAATCATATGTAAACAAGACTCAGAATTCTTAAGAGTTGATAAACCAGACTTTGATGAGGTTAGATAATTCTTTAATGAAATACTTCTGAAACAGTGTACAGTTTGATAGGGAAAGGTAAAATTTTAGGTTAATTAAAAAAAAAGCACACCTCCATCTCCGTCCTTTTTTGCCAGATAAGACCATATAATTATATTAATTTATTTGTTTTTTTGGGGGGGGGGGGG